GAGAGAGAGAGAGAGAGAGAGAGAGAGAGAGAGAGAGAGATAGATAGATAGATAGATAGATAGATAGAATGGCAGGCAGGCAGGCAGGCAGGCAGACATGGATGGATGGATGGATGGATGGATGGATGGATATGTAGATAGATAGATAGATAGATAGATAGATAGATAGATAGATAGATAGATAGATAGAGACATACATACATACATACATATATACATACATACATACATACATACAGACGGATTCGCTGAACGACCAGGGCAAAACAAGGTAAAATTAGAGGTGCCTCACTTAAAGACTGGAACACTTAATTTTTTGGGGTTGCGATTACAGTCGTAAGACGAGGACTGAGAGGCGTGGCTCAATCAGCGCATTGGGGGGGGATGAAAGGCTAAATCCGAGGCCAGGTTGGACCCTTCTAGATGCCTCTTGGGAGCCCCAGTATTCATCCCAGCCCCTTTTTGTGCCTCCCCCACACACACACAATGGAGGAGGCGGAGCCCCCCTCCCCGCCGTGTCTCTGCACCATGTTTTCCACCGTCCGGAGGTACTTGGCGCACTGCGAGTGTCCGTTGTAGTCGGCAAGATCCGCGGCGGTGTAGCCGTCTTGGTCGCGCAGGGTGAGGTCGACGCCGTTAACCACGAGGATCTGACAGCACTGTTGGGGGGGAGAGAGAAGAGGAGGCGGGTGAGCAGAGAGGGGAAACTGGCGGGGGGGTTGGACTAGATGACCTCAGTAGTCTCCCTTCGCTCCCACTCATTCTAGGCGCTCTATATTTTGATTGAGATTCCCCCCCGCCCCAGACAGCGGGTTGGGCTGGATGACCTCTGAGGCCCCCTCAGTTTTAGGCTTCCATCTTTTAATTTGGGTTTAGAATCTAGAATTTCAATTTCGGTTATGAAGCGGGGGTCAGACTATATGATCACCAAGGCACCCCTTCCACCTTTCTATTCCAGACTCCTATATTTCAACTGGGATTATGACACAAGCAGGGGGTTGGGCTGGATGACCTCCGAGGCCCCCCTCTCAGCCTTTCCCATGTTAGGCTTCTTTATTTCAATTTGGATTCTTCCACCGGGCAGTGGGGGGGGGTTGAGCTAGATGACCTCCCGTGGTCCCCCTTACAACCTTTCCATTTTAGGCTTCGGTGTTCCTCCACCGGGCAGGCGGGATCAGACTACACAACCTCTATGGCCCCTTTCAACATTTCCCCCCCGCCCTAGAGTCCTATATTCCAGTTTGGATTCCTCCACCGGCTGGGGGGAGCGGGGGTCAGCTAGATGACCTCTGGGTTCCTTTCCAACCTTTCTATAGTTCTCCCACTCCTAAGGCCCGGCGGAGCGACTCGCGAGGGTCCCGCATCCGAACCCAGCGCTTCCTTCCCTCCCTCCCTCCCTCCCTCGCTGTTGCCTCCGATTCTCCCTTCCTCGCAAAGGGAAAGGGCACCAAGAGGCGATCGCTCACCCGACCGATCCTCTCACCTCCAGCTCCCCGTTCTCTGCCGCGTCGTGCAAGGGGGTCCCCCCCCACTGGTCCAACACGATCTCCCCTCCGTGTAAAAGCAGCCAACTCAGGACTTTGGCGTGGCCCCGACTGGCCGCGAAATGCATAGGCGTGGCCCCGTCTTCGTCCTGCTCCGCCAGGTTCACATCGGTGAAACTCATCTGAATAAAAAAAAAAAAAAAAACAATCAATTAATTAATTAATTAACCAAGATCGGAGTCTTGACACTCCGAAGGCAGTCCTCGAATTACGACCACAAATGGGGGCACGAAAATTTACGCCGCTACGGGAGACGTCGTCCCGAGCGAGTTTCGCTCCTTTTCAATGAACGCGGCGGTTGGGAGGCGAATGGCCACCCTGGTTAGCGACACGGCCGTTCAGTGGGTCTGGCTTCCGCCACCGACTTGCCATGAGGTCGCTCACGGGAGATCACGTGACACCGCGCCCCCCACCCCGGGTTGGGGGGAGACACTGCCACCGTCGTAAATACGAGACAGCAGCCAAATGTTCAAATTTTGATGCGCAGGTTAAAAAAAACCCGGTCCCAAGTGGCTTTTTATCGGCGGCGGCACAACTCGAAT